GAAACGCCTGCAATTCAACACCTTGCAGTAGCCACCGACCGTGTGACCGGCGGATTAACGCAATGCCTTACAAAGCAGCGTCAATGGCAGTAGCGGCGATAGTAATAGTAGATTAAAAATAAGAGAAATGTTTATTTTAATAAACAGTTTAAGAACGGAACTCAACTTGTGCTTATTTAAATAACATAATTCCGTGGTAGTCGACAACACCGTCGCTATCGCATAATCGGAAACATTATTTAAATGTTAGTGGGTAGTCGACAACACCGTCGCTACCAATCACAACGCACATAAGTATTCAAACCACTTATAGTAAAAGTAGTGATTATAAATAAATAACTATTATTTAAATAGTTCGTGGTAGTCGACAACACCGTCGCTACCGAATAAAGGAACAATAAAAGTTTAAAGATAATAAAAAAATAACTTGTATATCACTTCAAACGAGCGTTATGCGAAAGCTTACGCTGTATAAATGATATCTAGGTATGTATGTACGTATAACATGTATATACCTATGTATATATATTATATATTTGTTGGCAAATCCGCAGCTAATAGCGCACTAGTGCACTACAACTCAAGCGAATTTGCACTGGCCATTTTTCTAACCCAAGGTAATGCAGGAAGAGAGCAGTTAGTTTCTTAGAAGAAAAGTAGAAAACACGTGTTTTACTGTGCCGTAATTACTTTTTGTTTTATTGAGACCCGTCAAAAAGCCAATAGCGAAGCAAGTGGAAACATAAGTGGTAAGCAAATAAATATTAAATTACGTTTTAACTAGAAATATGTTTGTAAACAAAGCAATGAAGGTGATTGTAATTGGAGTAATAGATTGCATTTATGACGTATAGAACTGTAAATGAGGAAAATAACAAACTTTGTTACAGAAATTTAAGTAATAATTTATGCCACATTTCGTAAGGTTACCCTGTCAAATAAAAAAGTTTTCCATACAAGACATGAGTTTAATCGGTTGGTTTGTATGACAGCTACATGCTATAGTTGTCCAATTTTGGCGGTTTCGACAAATGAGCATTATCTTGGTGAGAACAGAACGTTTGCAAATTTTCATATCGATACGGACATGGCTAAATGAAGTCAGCGCGTCAACGCTGATCATGGAAACCTAGTAGCCACTAGATACCAGGGAACTCAGTATTATATATGCAAAATATGGAGCAGTTACTATAAAGACAAGAACAAACCAGTTACATAAATTTTTAGTTTATAAATAGAGTAATTTCGACAAATTTATTCCTAATCAAGGTAAACTCAAAATTATAAAAAAAAATACGTGTGGCACTCGGGGTCTACCGCGGTAAAGCTTTTGCATAGCATTTATTTTTATTTTTTTGCCAACTTATGCAATTATAATTGTTTATTTATTTTTTATGCAGTATTTTTTTTTTGTTTTCTTTGATATTAATTCAAGTTACACTTTTTGAGCGTGGTGATCGATAAGAGTACAAATATTATTTTTCTTTTATTGAATAAATGAGAAGTTAATATTGTTTAAATTATTTTTATTATCTTATTGTACAATACATGTAGGTTATTCAGGAATTTGTATCACTGAAACTATAGGTTTATGGTAACTGAAATAAGAAAGAAATAAGGCTGAGACTTGATATCCTCTAAAAATCTGAAAAATAACGCGGCAGCAGTCGTCCCATATTTTGTTGTGAATTCTTGTGGATCATTAATCATTTTCAAACTCATTTCTTCCAAAAGAAAAGTTGTTAATCGCTCTGATCTTATCAGCGAAATTGATGTTGAAATCGTCAGCCAAGATAAGTGGACATTTATTACCATTGATAATCCGACTGAAATACATAATTTCAATTGTATTGTTCAATTCAAACGAGATATTGTTTCAAAAGGTGGGGTAGCTATTTACCAAAATAATAATAATGTTACTAATAATATGACGCCGAACATTGAATAAAATTTTTTTTTATTAATTACATTTTTTTTAAATTCTCTATTTTTATTTGTCATGAGCTAGAGCACATGTTAGCGCACGGTTGCAGCCACTTTAATGGAACAACTGAGTTTCACCACTCTCTAATACTTGTAGAAGTTATTGCGACCAACTCGTTACTCTTACTGCTGGGTAAATAAATTATAATTATAAAAAAAATATATGTATATACATATATATATGCATACTTGTGTTTGTATGCGCATCTAGTAGGAAATTGTTTGTAGATATGCAAGTATTTGAATGCTCGCGTTCACTAATGTTGCTTAGCCGGCACTACCTTGACTTAGTCAGTCGGCGAAGAAAGCTGCAGCGATTCGGTTCGTTTGGGTTTGCAGCACTTTTTTAGTTGTAATCTCATTTTAATTGTTTTTTCAAAAATCAACTGACCTCTAATTTTTTTTTTATAAACGCGTGTAATCGGTGTGCAGGCATTACTAACAGTAAATTATCGGTTGTGTTATTTTGCATTATAAAGCATGGGTGAGTGAAATATTGGTGTTGCGTGAAGTTAAAATAATTTCACACACGTGTCGTGCTAATTTTGGTGTAAATGAAAAGTAATTAAAACACCCACAAAAACCGGTAGCGAAGAAGTAGCGGTGCAGTGATTTTGCTCCACATTTCTAGAAAACGTTTTGATCTTCAAAGGTGCAAATGTATGTATGTGTGTGCTTTCTATTTTGCTCTTGACTTTGCATCTTTGCCAATCACTTCAAGTCAAAAAAACAACATTACATCATGGTTTACAGTTGTTGATGCTTTATATAATCGAAATGAAAAATTATCACTTGTGTTTAATTAAAATAACTTAATATTTTCCGGAAACCAACGTTTTAAATGTAGCTAATACATAACAAAGTTGTTTTCTCTTGTAGTGACTTTTAAGCATTTTAAGTATTACCTTATTTTTGTTTATAAGCTATTATTATTTTTTTATTCGCGCATAAACTAAATTAAAGGATCAAGTAAATTTTTGGTTTAACGTAATTTTATTTAAATATTTTTCTTTCTAAAGATATATTTGAATTATTGGTTTATAATATAAATAGTTTTTGATAAATTTAAAATTTTGTAAATTAATTTTTAATATCTTTTTATACGTTTGTGTTTTTTTTTTTGCTCTCTTTTTCATTACAAATTTTGTTAATTTTAATAGTTCAATTATTTTATTTTTTTTTGAAAAATTATACAACTTTTTACTTACTTTAAAAATTTGTTTTTTAAATTTTGAAATTGAAAAAAAAAATTATTTAAAAAAATAAATATTACAAAATTTTTTTTAGTTTCTAAAATTTTTAATTAAATTTTTTATAGCGATGAGAAATTTAATAACTGACATTTAATTTAAAATAAAATAAATAATAAATATTTAATTAAAAACAAAACCTTTGGGATTAAAACAAAGATTATAATTTTTAAAATAAAATAAAAATTATTAAAAACGCAATACATTAATAAATTTAACAAAATTTATTATTTAGAGAAGTGGATTAAATATAATCAAAATATTTTACTTTAAAATTGTTACAAAAAATATTACTTAAATAAGTTTCTCAACGGTTTCTTATTAAATTTTTTTGACAAAATTGTACATATTTATTTTTTCGCTACTATATTATATATGGATTATATGAATTGTGATTTATTTTTATAAAAAATACTGGTCAATTTAATAGTTATTTATAACCAAGAGAGATTATACATACTTGCATATCAGAAAAAACCCGTTTTTTTGAACTTGTTTTGAAGAATAAAAATTAAATTTTATTTAAATTACGTTCTTATACTTAATTTACAATTTTAGAACATATTTTCTTTGTGATTTTGCGAGTTTTAAATTTTAAACAGTCTTTTAAAAGTGTTTTTTATATTAAAATTTAATAAAAATTTAAAATAAGTTTCTATTTATCTTTACTATTTTAATTCTTACCATAGCGATGGCGGGACTAACGCTCGGCCACTTGTTGCTGTTGCTTGGCCTTTATTGCACACACTGGTGCAAGCCAGTTACCCACTCAAAATACTAGGTTTATTTCCACACCCAGGCATTAGTCACTTCCACTTCTTCCACCCCATTATGCGGGGCTTGGCCGAGAAGGGTCATGATGTTACTGTGATAAGTCACTTTCCCGATAAAAGTCCATCAGCACGGTACAGAGATCTTCCGTTAATAGCTAATGAAACTTTTACGAATAGCGTGGACTTGAAGGTAAGTGAAAGACTCTTAAGAGCTTAATTGAATGAATGAAAAATCTATCTTTCTCCGCACGAGTAACTGCTTTTATTTGCTAACTAATGATGAGAGTGCAAAATTTTAGTTTTTGACTTTTTTTGTGTCTAGTTTCTCGAATGTATAATATGATATTATATAATATAATATTTGAGTGAGTATGTTCGTTACACAGGTCAACAAAAAAATTATTTTGAACATGGGTTTTACTTAATATATTCTGGTAATACGAGTATAAGCAAATATACATATGTGGGAAAGGACGATTACAAATCGAAAATCGAATTGCTTTTTAAGTAAGGAATTGCCCATACTTGTATAATGGCGGCCTGCGCTGCTGTTGCCGTCAAAAGAGAAGGAAGAGCACCGGAGATAATGTCGCTTTCATTGCTCGTTGTGTTTGCAAATTGCAGGGAAATACTGTGTTTCATAATATTGTTTCCTGTTACAATCAGTACAAAATGTCTTCGAGAAGTTGTAAAGGAAACGTTGGCTCGTTTTGCTATATTTGCGGCAAACTTACCAAAATTAGAGAGAAAAAGTATGATTTAAGGACAAAATGCTCTCCACATGTGGCATGTAACTCTTGCAGATACATATATTCTGGATGATGACCTTATTTCCTATCTTTTTATAGCACTGGTCTACAGTGGTTTTGTTGCCCTAGATATAGGATCGATTTTGTATATATTTGTGCACACAGTTTATGAAACTATCAATGCTTTTGTAAGATTTGCTCTTTACAAAAATCAGAAAGCATGAAACAAAACAACTGAAATATTTCTAATGTCAGTTTTTTTTTGAAAATGAGGAAAACATCGAAGTAAACAGAGAAACAAGTTTCGGAAACATGTTCTATTTTAATAAAACGTCTTTTATGTACTTTTCTGTTATAAATTTCTAGTCGACAATATTTTTTTAAAGAACTAACAGTAATCATGTGACGATCCCTTCAATATTGATACCTTTCTTCCATCACTTTAAGATCCTATTTGAACCGCTCTCCCTGTTCATCACAATAATTTCCAAAATTAACTTGATACTTAAATTTTCTCCTAGAATCTTACAGTTTGTCAGCATATTTTGCGCAATTCCTTCATAATTTGGTACTTAATGGTTGCCTATGAAGTTTTTATACCAAACCTTTTTCAAGCTTCGACTTCCGTAACAGTTATGATCTTGATATAATCTGTATTTTTCAATAATTCGCTTTTGAAAACCATCAAGTCTTCCATTTTTAAATTTTTCCATACTAAGTTTGGAAATTTTTTACAAATGTCACTAAAAAATATCCTTCCATGTCCAACGCTTTGACAAATTGTTTTATCTTTCCTAACTTGATCACGTCTTAAATCACTGAGTTCATTTTGAATAAAAAAAAACTTTGGTGTATAGGTTTTACCGCTCCTATTTACGTCCATTGGTTGACTCCACCGATATCTAGGTATTTGGCGACATCCTTGTATCTGAGTAGTCCATGTGAATTACTTTTGAAATGAAAAAAGGAATGTAATTCTAGATATTTCCATATTTTATTTTTAGTAAAACCTTAAGGGGTTACATGTGTTTCACGGCTTCAAAAAACAAAAATGTTATTGTCTTATTTAATTCTTTAACATATCTAGAATATTGTCCTAAATTCTCAAGTAGATCCGCGAAATAGTTTTGGAGGTACAGCTTTGAAAAGTTGCGCGCTCGACGTCAGCTGTACAATCACTTAAAACTTTTTTTCGCGAATTTTCACCAAAATTTACATTTTTTTGTAAAAACGTCTGCCAAAAATACAATTTTCACTTTATTTGTTTTTTCTCCGTCCAATACCTAGTTAATGGTCTTAGTTCAAACACGTATTTATTTCTTTTTACTTTTGACGATCCTGTTAGAAGTTCTGTTGTCAACGCGGAAGCACCTTTTTTCCTAGGGACTGCGAGAATCGATGTCGTAATAACCGAGTTTTGTATATTTTCCTTTGAAAATTTCACAAAATCTGCTCAAAACAAAATACGTTTCTTTGGAATAATAAAGTTTGAATAAAATATTTTATTTTTTATATGAAAAAAAATTAAAAATAGAGCCTGTTTTGCTCCACGAAGCCCATATAACCCCTTAAAACTTTTCGTGTACTTTTTCGCATATTTTCTGTATGGAGCCTCCGAGTAGCGATCACGTGATGTTTTTATGCGCGAAAAAGGTGCGCAGAACTCTAATTATGACTGGAAAATTAAATTTTTATTACTAACAAGCAGATATTTATCAAAATATTAGATATTCAATTATCTTAAAAACAAGAGAACTTTTAATATTTTCATGAATAATGTCGTAATCTGGACACTTTATAGTATCAAAATTTGCTAAGTTGCCCCGGTTAACAAAACAAAAGTTTTTGTTTTTGTAGAACTGTGTAACTATTAACTATTTTTATAACATTAAGTACATAGGTTATAGAGAATTTGGAAGGAACCAGATGATTAACCTTCAAATATTTGAAGGAATTTTTTCCAAAACTTTCAGAGGCTAAAATAAATGCTTATAAAAAATAACAAATGATAGATTATGATATTTTCCCAAAGTTACTTAGCAATGAGGAGAACAGTTTTAAGGCAGTAGTGCGTGGTTTCCTTGGATTACGTAATGATTACGAACTTCTCCATCATTACACACTCATTTAGATAAATTTAATGAAAATATTGGACCTTAGTCGGCAAACAAGTAGAACACTTCCATCAAGATATATATAACGGAATTTGAAAGACGTTACTAAGGCCAGTATATTATATTGGGGGCTATATTTAGGGGGTAATAAGAGAAACTTCTACGGAACATTACAGGAAAAGTAAAACTATTGATTTTTTAGCATTTGGAGTCTACTTTAAAATGTCTTTGTAAGAATGAATCCTTAATGGATGATCGGTATTTGTTATATTATATATTATTTATATGTAAAATTTTTATGTTTTTTTATTGAGTAAAATTTTTCCATTTTTTTATACATAAAAACCAATGAAGAACTTTTTTTATTCTTATTATGATTTTGACTAAGGTATGTGTAACCCGTGCGCAAAAATGCTGTGACATGTTCAGAAGACTACTTTAAATCTAAAGTTCATAATTAAATATAGCAATAAATCAAGTGGTTTTAGTGAATCATAATTTGATCCAAAGAAAGTTGAAAGCATCCATATTACCTATCCCTTTTACTTTTTATTACCATGTGATCAAATTTGACCCGCACTGGTCTATTTAAAATATACGCGCAAACCGAATCGATAAAAAAACTTCCAAGATTGGTACAAACTTTTTTATGTTCGTGTGAAGTTCGATAAATGTATCAATTTGTATGGTATGTGTTTGGCAGATTTTTGTTTACGACGCGACAAGTTTGTCTGGATTTTTACCATGGAAAACAAAATTGAACGAGTTTGCTTGAAATATCGTGTTTCTAATGGAATCACGCCAACGAATTATTGAAAATGTTCCAGAAGCGTTTTGGGGTGTCACTTTATCACGAAAACATGTAATTGAATGGCACAAAGTATTCAGTGAAGGTCGTGAAGTCATCGAAAACTTGCCTCAAGCAAGTCGTCAATTCACCTCTGTTAATGACGATAATACCAAAAAAGTTAAAGAAACGGTGCTTGAAAATTAACGTATTGGTATCAGTGCGATGACAGAGGAGCTCAACATCTGGTTAATGTTTTGGGTATGAAGCGTGCCAATGCTAGATTTGTACCAAAAGACCTGAATCTTTTGCAAAAATGACGTCGAGTAGAGGTCGCAAAAGAAATGCTTGACAGTGTAGCTAAAGAGCCAACATTTATTAAAAGCATCAATACTACTGCCAACAATCTAGCGAATGGCAAAATTGAACCGAACCGAAAACCAAATTAGTTGAAGGCACTAATATCTATACACTACTTTTGATTTTTATTCTTTGGATTGGAAAGTTATGGTTCGATGTCGACAATTTTTAGACGTAAGATGCCACGCTCCAAAGACAACTTGTACACAAAAATTTACTCCGATATCTTCTTTGGTACTTGATTTTTTTACTGTAAAGTGAAAGAATCGCTTGGAATTTAAAATTGTGATTTAAGGAAAGTGCGAGGTTATCATTCGATTTCAACTAATTTCACATTGTCGTAGGAATTTTCGAAAAGGTTTGTCGTGTGCAAATTTGGTTGTTATAACCCAAGTTGTGTAGGATATATTTACATTAAACATATTAGGGGGCGCGACCCTAAATTTTAAAGATTTTTAAACTCCTGTTTCTCCATAATAAGATTCCTTATATCGAATAACAGTTTTGTATATTAATTCGCAGCTTAGTTATAGCGCTTTTGTATGAGCACTTTCGGAGAATTTTTGAAAACTATATTTTTTCTCTCATATTAAAAGTGAATTCCGAAGTTTGGGTTAGTTAAAATCAACTTATTCACAGCTTATGTTTGCAATTTTTTAATTTTAATGCGATTCTTTTCGTTGCAGATCTTCGAAACGCAATCCTTCTACAATCACTTCTTGGAATTCTTTTTGATCACCGAATGGGGAACGGACGCCTGCAATCTCACATTGCGTTCCGATGCTTTGGCGCAGGTGTTGCGAGAGCGGCAACATTTCGATGTGATCATCATGGAGCAATTCAATAGCGATTGCATGACGGCGGTGGCACATCAACTGAAGGCGCCTTTCATAGGTTTGAGCAGGTGAGCGAAGTTTCTTTTTTTTAACTTCCCGCTAAGAAAATTGAAAATTTTCTAAAAATCGGGAAATTATTGGTTTCACCCCATTTTGCAAAAATCGAGTTCTCAACCGATCTCGACGTTCTGAGGGTCGAGGAAGCTTCGCCGAACATTTCTACGATGATGTCCGTATGTCTGTATGTATGTGTGGATGTGTGTGTGTGTATGTATGTATGTATGTAAACCTCTTATAACTTTTAAACGGCTCAACCGATTTTAAAAATTTAAAAAAACGGCAAAAGGGTCTCATTGAACTTGAATTTCGTGTAAGTTTGGACCCAATCGAACCAGTAGATTTCGAGAAATTTCAAAAATATAAAAAGAATTTTCTTCCAAACGACTTGACCGATCGACACCAAAACCTAATCAGTTCTAAACCTTGAAAAAAACACATCAAACCGGGTCGAAATCGGTTGATTTACTTGCGAAAAATCGTTAACGAAAGAAATCACCAAAATTTATTGGTCTTTGAGAAATTTGGAAAATAGTGTTATATTAAACTCCCATTAAACTTTTGAGCTCGAAGAGCTCCACATTTTTTTTTTTTTTTGTCTTTAAACTAAAAGAGTGCTAATTGTAATTATAATTTAAACAACAAAAAATTCTAGTTGTGCTATGCTGAATTGGCATTACGAACGCATGGGCATGCCCATGATAACCTCAGTTATGCCATCACTAATTATGGGACAATCCGAGGAAATGACATTCGGCGCTCGTTTCGCCAATTGGTTCACACACCACGTTATGCTTTTGCTTTATGAGTGAGTAAAAATTATTCGCGGTTTTAAAACATCCCTTTTTAATAAAATATCTATAATTGATTGCTAGTATTTACAACACGCCCGCTACCGATGCCTTGGTACGCCACAAATTCGGACACGATATGCCCTCGGTTGCCGAATTGGCGAAGGAAACATCAATGTTATTCGTCAATCAGCATTTCTCATTGAGCGGTGTCAAACCGCTGCCACCGTCCGTTATCGATATTGGCGGCATACACATACAGAAGGCTAAGCCGCTCGATGCTGAGCTGCAGAAGTTCATCGATAACGCCGAACATGGTGTGGTCTTCATTAGTTGGGGCTCGATGATACGCGCCGACACTATGTCGCCCGCTAAACGTGAGGCTATCATACGCGCTGTGAAGCGACTTAAACAACGGGTGATTTGGAAATGGGAGAACGCCACGCTGGAGCACAAGCCGGATAATCTGTATGTTAGCAAGTGGTTGCCACAACGCGACATACTCTGTCATCCGAATGTGAAGGTGTTCATGTCCCATGGCGGTTTAATGGGTAGTTCAGAGGCGGCTTACTGTGGTGTACCGGTAGTGGTCACGCCCATATTTGGTGATCAGTTTTTGAATGCGGCGGCGTTAAAGTATCGCGGTATGGGTGTGGTGCTGAAATATGGCGATATCACCGAGAATTCAGTGCTGAGTTCAATAAGAGAGGTGTTGAAGAAACAGTAAGTGAAATGAGTGCTAGAGAGAGTGTAGGGAGAAAGTGTTTTTTATATTTTTCATCTTGCAGATATATGGATAACGCCAAAGCGGTTTCATTCTCCTACAGACTTCGTCCGCAGAGCGCACTCGAGACCGCCATCTGGTGGGTGGAATATGTCGCCAAAACCAAAGGCGCGCCGCTCACTAAAGCTCACGCCGTGCATGTATCGCGCTTCGTCTACTACTCACTGGACATTTATCTATTCATTGCAGTCATTCTATTCATATCGGTTGTGAGTTGGAGTTTTATATGCAGTAGACTGTGCTCGCGGAGTCCCAAGGCCGCTAAACAAAAGTCAAATTGAACAAGGAGGTAACGATTTCAGATTGAGAGAGTTAGTTCGAGTAAAATTAAGACAAGAGCACTTTATTTTCTCTCTTAGATATATTGGATAACAAATTGCTGTTATTCTTAACTGAGTTCAAAACAAATAATTAATGAAGTTATCGTAATTAGCGTAATTTAGCTCATAAAAAGCGTGAAAGAAGAGCAAAAAATACCTAAAAATTCTTTGCCAAAAGTTTAAAAAAATTAAGGCAATACAAACTCCATTTTAATAGTTAAAATAACAAAATAAATGAATAATTGTTTTAAAAAAAATTTTTCATCCATGGTTTAAAAAAGTGTCGCCACTTTAACATAAAGAGTTGCCAAAAAAGCCATTGAGGCATCATTAAAACTATATAAGATATAAATATTTATAAGTTATAAATACACCTTTTTTTCTTGTTAAAAATCATTTACCTGTTCAATGTTATTTGATTAAGCGTTAAAGTAGCCTTATTTAATTAAATAATGTATATAGAAGTATCCATGCCTGAAATCAAAAAGATATTGTATTATAAAGATATTAGAGAGATGACTTTCACACATAATTCTAGCTGCGAACTACTTGTAGTAAGAAAGGGCAATATAAAAAGAACAAAGGTGGAGAAATACCTTCAGATGTTAGGAAAACTTTGTTTTAAAAAATGTTGCGAAAGAATTCAACATTCATTGTTTGACGAAATTGTGAATGGATTACTATCCAATGTGGTATCTTCTTGTCTTACATTATAGGTCATAGACTAACTTCGTTGTATAACTATATTTTACTTCCCGTCAGTGAAAATGATATTCAAACTATACATATATGTGATATAATCTCAACCGAAGAGGTGTAATTTAATATATTGAGGTGGTGTGAAAATCGTCAATCAGAGTTCGGAATGCATTATATTAGGGATATGAGGCTTATACCAAGGTCTAGACCAACTCCATTCATATTCAGCGCTAAACCATTAATATAAATTTTAACATTTTTATGAAAACTTGTCCACTCAATTTCATTAAAATTACACATACTTTGACCAACCTAAACAGATAAAAGTCAGGTGGAAAGTCGGAATCTACATTATAGCCCATATTATTATCCCATTTTCACACTGTCGATAAAGGTGCTAAAAACATTCGTTCTCAGTGAATTTCGTTATTATAGCTTTACCGGTTTAGGAGATATGCAGAAACTGCAGATGCTCCTCCCTTGTATGATCCTGTATACTAAATAACAGTCTTGTATGTTGTTGTGGAGCTTAGTTATGGAAATTTATTTGTTTTTGAATAATGGCGTTTTGTGGGCGTGGCAGTGTTCCGATTACGCCCATCCGCAACACCAACCGTCTTTAGACCAAGAAACATGTGTACCAAGTTTCATAAAGATATCTCAATTTTTACTCAAGTTACAGCTTGCACGGACGGACGGACGGACAGACAGTCACCCGGATTTCAACGCGTCTCTAAATCCTGATCATTTATATATTCATAACTCTATATCTATTGTAACTCGATTAGTTTTAGGTAATACAAACAACCGTTAGGTGAACAAAACTATTATACTTTGTAGCAACAGGTTGCGAGAGTATAAAAATGTAGTGTTTCTCATTGAGAGGTGCCAAGGTACACGCAGGCAGTTTACAAATGATAGGACGAATGATACAACAAAAGCAAGAACAATCAAGTATGTATTCATGTACACAGGTATGAACATCGGGCAAATCATTATTTATTCATGTTTATTTAGTTGACTTTGGGAAGTACTTGCTTCTAATTTTTTTTCTTAATTGTAATTGTTAGTAGGCTCGATATATAGTATATATATTTGTATTTGTTATCGTTGTTGTTTTTCTTGCCAATTTTGGCGACATTCAAGCACAATTTAAGAGAGAAATGTACACCATTTTTTATTGTGTATAGTTTTATGCCTTGGAGAGTGACGAATCGAACAGACAACTGGTATAAATGCAATAGACTAACAGTATCAAATAGAAATGGAATAGCAATTGTTTTAAAGAGGTAGCCTTATATTTTCTGACTTCTATTCAACTGGGTAGCTCCGTTGTTGCTCTTACATACAATTTTATTCACAGGAGAATTTCAACTCATCGTAATTCAGTCAAAATACTTTTTCGTGCGGTAAAGGCCATATCCGCAGATTACCAAAGTTGTCTCTTTTTTGTATAAAATTAAATTTAAAATCGAGGGATTCGTTCAAAAAACATACAGCACGAAATTTGTACGTAAGTTCCTACAAAGTGAATTTCCTATACTTGAGCATAGTATGGTGTATGACTCAGGATCGAAACCCTATGTCTATAAGTGGGGCCATTTTAAAGACAATGGCGAATAAGTTTCATTCTAAGTTTTTTTACTAGTGATGTTTGGATGACTAACTTCAAAAAACGCTTCGGAATACGCTTTTATAAACAAAGTAGAGAACGTAATAAAGATGAAAGCAGTAATTATTGGAAATTACTTCCTGAAAAAATAATTGGAGAATCTCAGAACCCGATACTTTTCAAAAACAAATTGCTGTCCGTAAAAAAGCCAGCTGCTAAAATATGACTCGGACTGATCCATTTAAACTGTGCGCGCAAACCAAATCGATAAAAGAATTTCCTAGATTGGTACAATCTGTTTTAAGTTTGTGTAAAGTTTGATCTCCATATGTCAATTAGCGTGTGTTTGACATACATATGTATTTCTGTTTACTGCGCAAAAAGTTAGTCTGCCGATTTTACCATGGAAAAAAATTTAAACAACAATTTTGCTTGATATGTTGTGTTTCCAATGGAAGCACGGATATGGAAACATTGAAAATATTGCAGAAGTTTTTTGGAAAGTCCATTTTTTTCACAGATACAAGCATTTGAGTAGCGTAAAGTATTTAAGGAAGGTCTTGAAGCCATCGAAAACTTGCCTCACGCAAGTGGGTCATCCACCTCGGGTAATGACGATAACACCAAAAGAGTTAAAGAAACGGTGCTTAAAAATCATCGTGTTGGCATCAGCGCGAGAGCAGAAGATCTTAGCATCACTTATGGATTGATTCAACACATTTTGGTTAATGTTTTGGGTAAGAAGCGTGTCAATGCTAGACTTGTACCAAAAAATTTGAAGGGCGTCAATTACAATGTTTGATAATGTAGCATTAGTACTGGTGACGATACGTGGGTGTATGAACACGACGTCGAAACTATCCAACAATCTAGCGAATGGCAAAATTGAACCGAACCGACAGCAAAATTCGCTGAATGCACCGGAGACCATCTCAGCCAAGGCGTATAACAAGTGTGTGTAACCATTCCCTCGACAGTCGGATCTAAGTAAATGGAACGAACACGGATTTGTTAACTTAGCACCATTGTTCGAAATTACTTCAGGAATGTTTTCAGCCGCTACTACAATGACAACAGGTGTGTGGAAAATTGGATTAAGTGTTGTAGTTTATTCGTCAATCCGTGACAATCAGGTGATAGATAATTCAATTTACACGACAGGTCAAGGGGCACACTATCGCACATCAAAGAACTGTCTTTACTTGGTGGAAGTAGCAATAGAAATGTATATGCAAATTTATAATTATTAACATTAAAATATTTACATATTAATTAAGTAGTTAATATTTGATGTTCAATTGAAGTAGTTTTCTATTAACAGAACTGTCACAATATGTAAAGAAAATAATGCGTAGGGGTTCTATTGTATTCCAAAACAAAATTTTTCACATACTCAATCATGCATTGTTAAACGGAAGTATGAATAAATTTTTTGGTAACTAAAATTAAAGACAATCTGTAGTCCGTTCCCACGACTGTCGGGTATACGTAAAAGGAACGGAGGCGGAGTTTTATCCGACCAAGGACTGTCAACCCGGCAGAAATCAGCCGATACAACAACAACAATCATTAGTTGCGAAATTTTTTCCTAATCCATGCTACCCATATCCATACTTCCATAATAATATTATAAATGTAAGCGTAACATTTCACGCCAAATCCACTTAACCAATCACTATGAAACTTTATACACATATTCCTGATGGAACTAGAAAGGACATAGCATTATAATTACTAAAAAATATAAAAAAATTTTACTAATTGCAAACAAAAAACATTTTATAGGAGTAAAAAAAAATTTGAAAACTTGAAAATTTGAAACTTTAAAAAAATATTTTGGCAAATATGATTTTTTTCGAAAAATTTGAAAATATAAGAAAATAAAAATGTATCAAAAGCGTAAATCATAGGAAAACCACCACCACCAAGATGACAATCGCGATATAGTATTCGTGTGCATACTATGTACTTATGTATTTAGTTGTTTTTTTTTTTGTTAATAATCTTTGATTTTTATTTAAGGATTCAATGCGAGCAGAGCTGCGGGATAAGCTAGTGACATATATTTATTAATTTTACGGAACGTAATAAATAGGGCCGTTTTTATAAGTGGCAACGTTGTATGCAGATGTAAACAAATAAATTTAACAAAACATAAACAGCTGATTTCGATTGCTCAGTACACGTGACACATCAAAATATATAAGAGGATGATATAAAAGAACTCTCTCTAAAACTCTTTATAGGAGTAAAAAAAGAGAATAGCTGGCAGAAGTTTATATAAATGCAACCATAAACAAATATGTTAATGAACTCAACGCAGAATATATCAACAATATTTGAAAATACTAATTAATACAAAAATAGTTGTAAACAAAATTAGCTAAAACTCAAGTTTATTTAGTTGTTGCAAAATAACTATGCACATTGGTGTCTTGGTGTCTACTTACCTATTAGAAAAACCAAAAAATATTGCAACGCAACTGCTAAAAATATTTCACAAACAACTATTAAACGTTTAAAAAAAATTAGGAATCCTAAATTCTCGTTATTGTTTATTGAATCATTTAATTCTGCTAGAAGCCACAGCTAAAATATACAAGAAAAGCCGTGTTCACACTATTACAATGCAATTAATCAACTTAATCAACATGTTAAATAGAGCTCATTGGTTGAAATTGAAAAACACAGTGCAGAAATTGAATTTTAAAACTAGAAATATCTACAATATGACTTGTTAGCTATTTTAATTTTCAATAAATTTAAACGTCTATTTTACTTCGTAACGAACATCGCGAGTTCACCGCTGCTACCCTTTCCAGCATTCCTTTTCATTTTCAAATTTTATTTCATGTTTGCAATTGCGCTCGGTTTCAAATAAATATATACCATTCGTTCAGAAATTTGAGTTCTGTTATCTATTTTTTGTATGTAATATGCAAATATGTATGCACAGAATAATAGAAATATTTTGAAAAGTTGTAAATAAGGAGAATAATAACACATAGCGGTTTTAAATGTAATAATATACGAGTATACATAAATGAATTCTAATAAAAATTGTAATTTTACTTTTTTATATTTACATAAAATATTAAGATGCTTTCATATTTATTTCTTTTAACCGCAAAGGAGTTAGTTCAAATCTCATTTTATTGAAAACAAGAATAGTAATTTATTCAAGGATGTTTTATCATAAATAGAAAAAAATATGGAGTAAAGAAAGTATGGATTTTTAATACTTCCTAAAAGATTAGGAAATTCCTGTTATAAATTCGGCCTTGAAAATATTAGTAACGGGTATTCAATACATTCTGGTGGATTAGGGAATTTCCGACTTAAGTATTTCTTTAAAACTAATAAGCGGGTAGATATTATTCATATTGTTTTACCACATTCATGGTAATTAATTGCATGCAAAATGTGAGACCGTCATCCTAAAATAAAAATGAAATATGTAACACACTCTAAGTGTTGCGTAGCCGAACCGCACAAATATTTGCGAAAATTTTATGAAAAGGAATGACAGAAAAACTCGATTTGAGTTGCTGGACTCCTTTTGCTCGTAGGAATGCACAGAGCGACACCAAAAGAAAATTTGCCGATAATGAGGGTCAAAAGAGTCCCCATGGAAACACATTATATTATACTACGGCATTGAGACGATTTAATGCACAAGAACGTCGATTAGCCAAATCACCACAATTAAAAGCACACTACGTTGAATTTATGAGCGACTACGAGAGTTTGGGTCATATGAGCGTTGTAAAAAATTCAAATCTCAGCGAACCGCATTATTATATATAAAAGAACAAAGCTTCGAGTTGTATTTGACGCTTCCTGTCGAACCACATCCCAAAAATCATTAAACGATATTCAGATGGTTGGCCCTACAATTCAATGCGAACTTTTTCTTCTTCTTATTCGTTTTCGATTCCACAGGTTTGCACTCACTGCCGACATAGTCAAGATGTATCGCCAAGTATTAATGCACGAAGATGATCGAAAATTCCAGTATATTCTGTGGAGGAGTTCACCAACTGAAGATATTCGCACGTATCAACTAAATACTGTAACGTATGGAATGGCTGCACCATATCTTGCTATACGGAGTTTGCTATATCTACTCTGTGGTGCTGATACTCTAACTGAACTTGCACAGATAAAGCAAGAGGTAATACAACTGTTAGAATTAGGACAGTTTAAATTAACAAAGTGGCATTTTAATTATCATCAATTCAGAGAAGACGACTCTATAAAGGATCTAAACGTAGATACATCCACCACTAGTACACTTGGACTAAAATGGAACCAATATCTTGATTGTTTTATTTTTTCATTTGAATCCAAACTAGCGCTGACCCACTTTGACTTTTAGTTCCTGTTATTATAACATCAAAAATTTTTTTGCAAGAAATATTTCTACTAAAGTTGGATTGGGATGATCTGTGCCACAGAACATCGAATTTGCTTGAAAAAATTAAAGTGCCGAGGCACTGTTTTTCGACAGATGTGGAATCTCTTCAGATACATGGATTTTGTGACGCATCGATTCGTGCATATGGCTGCGCAATATATACTCGCTTTCTCAACAAAGGTGGCACTACTACCATCCGCCTACTCACTGCCTCACTGCGAAGTCCAGAGTGGAACCCACCAAAACACAATCGTTACCCAAATTAGAACTTTGCGGCGCTCTTCTTCTTGCTCGTTTTTTAGCAAAAATTATACCAACAATTTCTAACAAATCTTTTAACATTTTTCTTTGGACAGACTCATAAATTGGCTTGAGATGCATTCTGCTTTTGTTGGTAATCGAATTTCGGAAATTCAAGATTTAACCAAAGGCGCCCATTGGAGAAATGCCCAAAGAACAGCTGCGATGATATCGACATGGAAGTTGTCGATAGAGAGAAACGAAAGCATTCAATACAATTGTTAGCACCAATTACATTTTGGAAATTGTGAATCAGCGGAGTAACTACACCAGCCGCCTTCGATTAATAGCTTGGATGTTCCGCTTCATTAATAAATTTCGACATGGAGCTAATCTTAATGACTCATTAACACTTTCACCACAAGAGTTACATCTTGCCTTTCTTTGCATAATTTGGAATATTCAACACATACATTTCGCTAATGAAATTCATCTTTTACAGAAAGAGCTTACGATAAATGGCTCACCCAATGCTGTTGCCAAACAAATGCGAATTTGTTGTGCATTACGTTCGTCATCTACATCGGAAACACTACCATGCAGGACCAAAGGCACTCGTAGCACTGATAAGACTTCAGATTTGGATAGTCAATGCGCGCGATTTAGCAAGACGTATCGTTAGATCACACATTGTATACGCTACAAGCCAAAGCTGATGAACCAAGTAATGGGACAGTTACCTGTCGAGCGTTTAACTCCATCTCGTCCTTTTGCGCGGTGCGGTATTGATTTCTGCGGACCAGTCAACGTATATTTGCGTATTCGAGGCAAAACACCTTATAAAGCGTACATTGGGATCTTCGTTTGTCTAGCGACAAAGGCGGTTCACATCGAACTAGTATCGGATCTATCCACGGACGCATTCTTAGCGTCATAAGAACAGTCCTGGTTGAGATAGAAGCTGTATTAAATTTTCGTCCAATGTCATCGGATCCAAATGATGGCAGTTCACTTAGGGCACTCCCAGAGCGGAGATTGTCAGCTAACATCAGCAACGTACAACGATGGAATCAGGTCACAAGCATTAAACAGATGTTTTGGAACAGGTGGTCAAATGAATACATCAACGAACTTCAAGTACGATCAAAGTGGTTTACGGAGCGACCAAACATCAACAACAACTCAATGGTTATCATCCATGAACACAACTTACCACCACAAAAATGGCATATTGGAAGAGTTATAAACTGTATTCCAGGAAAGGACTCTAAAGTGCGTGTGGTGGACATTCGAACAACGAAGGGAATCATTCGGCGACCAATTCACAAGCTAGTCCTTCTACCTGTTTGAAATGCCTCTCAACGGGGCCGGATGTTGGGTCACCGATTGAGAACCACTGCATTCTACGGTAGTATGTTCTATATATTTTTGCTATTTCTTGTTCTCTACTTCTTTGCCTAATATTCAAGGGCTAGCATTAGAAGTCATTCCTCAATGCAGTTAATAATTGTATTTGCATTGTGTACATACTTACATATTTATTGCTTGCTGTTTGTTTGTGCACATTAGCTAATCCTATTTAACATGTAGTAAGCTTAATATGTTAGCAGCCTCTTTTGTTAATAACTACATTATAGGTATACGAAGTAGCAATAGAGTAAAGTATGTACTTGGGTTATTCTCCTTTTATGAACTGTTTTTATATAACTTACATACTTATGTATATATGCACTAATAGAAAACGAAACTATATACTTAGCGGAAATTGAGTATTGAACGGTATTGCAATATTGCTTAGAATATTATTTAAGGAGAAGAATTTTGCGAATAAAGTTAGTCTAATAACTGACCACACATATCATCATTACTCGGCCCTTTGTATTTTATCGCTGTTACAACTTCGCTTATATATTTCGCTTTTTCGATATTTACGCGGCTACAAAAAAAGCTTTGTAGCCCTACAATGCTCGTCTTATGGAAAGGTCGAGTTGTAAAAACTCGAAATAAACCCCGAAGGAGGCTACTCAAGTCATTACAAAAGCCAGCTAGCTAGTGGACAGCCAGAAAAGTATTGAAAAAAATTGAGCAAGGCGCATCTTTTAAGCCAAATAACCCTATGCTATTCAAGAAAAGCATTGCAGCTCAAGAGAGAACGTAAAAATGTGTCAGTTAAGGACTGTAAACGGTTTATGGATCAATCGTAAGCTTTCTGATGATAAGTAATTTTATTGGCATCTGTCCAACGAGCAGTTACAATAACAATAAGTTAAAGAAACTAGGAATCATGGTGTCTATGAAATAATAGTGCCGCCCTGTTTCATTTGGTGGTCGATCAGGTATAAAATTTATTATTCCATACGTGTGACATGCGTAAAAATGCTGAGTAATGGCGAAAATAAACAAAGTGTAAAACGTAAGCAGATGAGTAATAAAGCCAGGGCTAAATATTTGTATACAATTTAAGTAGATATAAAGCAGCAAACAAAATAAAGTATTTTTTTT